ATTTTGCTTCATTTTTATTAATAAATATTTTTGAAGTTCTATAGCTTTAGTTTTATATGTAAACTGAACATACAACTATCTGGACTATCTAGAACTCTTTGAAGTAATCTGTGGCTTGACAGATGACAGAAGTGTGGCCTCTGAAATCTGTAAAACCCTTTTGGTTGTTCTTTGCCTCTGCTGTCGGAATCAGCCAAACCTATCACTTTATAAATTTTAATGCAATGTCGGAATCAGCCAAATCCATAATTTTATAAATTTTAATGCAATATTGGAATCAGCCAAACCTATCATTTTATAAATTTTAATACAAAGTATCTAAGTGCATAATATTCTTTATTTTTTCTCAAACAGAAAACTGTTAGAAATTTATTTTTGCTCTTAAAGAAAAGTTTGAGGCTAATATGTTCTATTACATATGTGCTATTGATGAAGAAAGAAAGTAGAAAAGATACAGTATGCTCTAGAAATACCTTCAATGAAATACAAAGAATGGCTTCTTTTTTAGTCAGTTAGAAAACCATTTTTGAAACCTCCTGCAGTCGTAAATGGCAAAAATACAAAAATGCTAATATGTTCATATCTGTGTGTATATGTGTGTTCTTTCTGTTCTTCAAATCTCCTATGATATTATACAACAACAATAAATATGATATTTTAAGTTAATCTAAATTATAAAGGATGTATCCATTGTCAGTCATCAACAGTATCTGTTTGGCACAATTTGCAGAAGCACAAAAACAGTGGAACTATAGACATTTTCATTCAGTCTTTCCTGCTTCTACAATTTGTCATGGATACCTGTGTTTTCCTCCTAATTATGATTTCTTAAATTTTACATTTATTTAAGATTAAGTATTTGAGTGTTTGGGTTTTTTTATTTGTTTGTTTATGTGTTGGTTTTCTTCTTCCAATGATATACAACGTATTTCTAAAGGGATTTTCAAGGAAATGAGAATAGTCATGTTGGAATCAGACGCGTTGTTCAGACCTCCTGAAAAATTCTGTCTCCACCTCTGCTTTAGTTCCCTGGGGCGGCCAGGATTTGGGTCCTCACCACTCTCCAGAGATGTAACAGCCTCCCAAAGCCAGGCCCCTGGCTCCTTCCCAAAGCCAGGCCCCTGGCACCCTCCACACCACTGCCAGTGGTGTCTTCTTAAAGCAAAAATCTCCCTATACCACTCTCCTGTTTAAAATCCTTAATTGGCTTTAATTAGCTTCTCAATGCCTTCATGATGAAATCCAAATTCCTCAGGATGTTCTACAAGCCCCTTTTTGATGATGCCTCTCCAAAGGGCATCGCTTGTTCCTCATTTGCCCCATAAATGCATAATATTCTGAATCACAAGTTTTCTAAAACATCAGGAATCTGTTTTAATGACACAGTTAAAATATCTTTATATTTTTCAGTTATAGGATTATCAGCAACATAGCATTTATAATTTTAATTTCGTCTTGTTTTAACATGGGATCTAAAATTGTAGATGTATCTACCTCATTTTATTTATTATTTATTTTTCTTTTTTCACCTCATTTTAAACTTTAAAACTTTACACTAATCTCTCTTATATTTTAACCTACTTTTAATGACTTAAGTATTAATGTTTCATTCTGCTATAACAGTTCTATCCAATGAGTCATAACTGATAATCCAAATTTTAATTTCAAGCAAGTTATAAATGAAAACACATTTGATTACCTGAATTTTTATCCCAAATTGCAAATTTGTATATAGTAATTATCTGACTTTCCTAGTCCCTGCTTTGTTAATTCCTTAGTGAATTTCCTAGGAATAGGAATTTTTATCCTAAATTTCAAATTTCCTATATAGTAATTCTCTGACTTTCCTAGTCCCTACACTAATTGCTCTCCCATTCTCATCCCTTTTATCTGTCTCACTTCTTTTTTCTCAAAGGTTTAAATATTGCCCTAGCAGCCTAGTATACTTTAAGAGGGTGCTCACCAAAGTGACTGATCCATATTATTCAAATGGTTTCATAGCAAAGACTCTAATAGATATTTTTCTGGTCTGAAATTTGAAATTATGCTTCTGTCTTTATTAAGACTTCTAAATTTTACCTTTGGTACATATCTTGTTAAAGGATGGCTCCTTGATAATTTTGGATATGTAGTTGGAATATATGTCACTAGGCAGCTACTCAAACACTATTTTTGACAGTGCACCACACAATTATTTGAAGGCCTATAACTATGCCAAATTATTAAACCAGATCAAACCCCATATTATGCAAAGCCATTGTGATAACAGTCTTTCTATAGAAGCATTAAGTAGTAGATTACCTTTGCTACATTTATTGGCACATGCACACCCCTACATGTACATGCATACAGATCCGAGTCAAAAGAAATTACTGACATAATTGTTTGAAGAGGAACTGTGTATACGTTAAGTTAAAAATTTTCATCATCCTGGAAATATATACTTTATTAAATTAAAATTTTTCATCATCTTGGCTAGTGTAAGAATTCTGCTGCTTCTTCAGAAACTCATGTTCTGATTCTGAACTGTCCCATTTGGTGCCACTAGCTAATGTGACCAATAAAAATGAGACTAGGTATGAAAAAGACTAAACTATTGCACTAGTAATTTTTATGTTTATTACATGTTGCAATAATATTTTTATATACTTGTTTTGATAAAACATTTTAAAGTTAATTGGATCTCTTTGAATGAAGCTATTAGAAAATTTTAAAGTACGTATTTCTTGTATTTGTAATTCACATTACATTTCAGTTGGATAATACTGATTTAGGTAATCTTCATGAATCCAATTAAGTCATTCAAAAAATAAGATGTTGCAATAAAGTAATTTTATTTCTTGAATATCTTTATATTAGCAAATGGTGATCCTTTTTTCTCAAAACCTGTTGAACAGTAATAACATTACACTGAGTATTTTATGCAAATTTACTATAGCCTCCTTTGACACCCTAGTATATAGATAGCCTCATCTATAGATGAATATTATCACAAATAATTATCAAGTGGTAGAACTTCAAGTGTAGACGTTATTTATCAGTGATTCATTTATACTTGAAAATCAGTTAACATGTTTTCAATCGCTTGTTTGCAACCAGGATTTTCTACAGAAGTATTGAACTGTAATTTTTTCAACTCTTGAGGCCAAACTGTACCTTTGGAGTCATGATAATTTATAAAAATTAGGGAGGATGTTAAAGTTGATCCCATGAGAATTTGATCATTCTGTCCGTTTAATTGTCCACCTTCTATTAAAGTTCATGCCATCTATTTATGACAAGCACCTTCTCTTACTCTTCAGAGCTCTCTTCAGCAACTTTAGGCAACAAGTCATGGAATTCCTCTCTACTTTCAATTGTTACCATCCTTGGATGATTTTCATTTTCTTGACAATAAATTCTTCTATCAAACACACTTATTTTTTCCAGTGTCTTTCAATGTTAGATTCTCTCTCCTACCACAAACACTATCATCCTTCAGAACAGACACATTTTAAAGATCTCGAAGTCTGAAATTTCCCTCTCACAACTATATCCTCTTTTCTGATTTTACAGTGCCGTTGCTTTCACTTTTTTTTTCTTCTAAGACTTCTAATTTCTTTCCCCACTATTTTTCCTGGTATTTTTCTCCACCATGGTAATTCCTACTTTGTTTCCCCATTTCTCTTGCCTGGCCTAGATCCACCATATATTCCTTGTAGCATTGATTTGCCATCCTTTCTTTTTTGTACTACACTCAACCTGTGCTGTCTGTACTTAGCCTCCTAGAGTGCTAATTGAGTTTATGAAAGCCAAGTGGCTAATCTTTAGTTCTTTCACTTTTAGGTTATACATTGAAAATTTCTTAAAATAGCTAGAACTTTTCTCTCTTCAAGTCGCTGTTCTTTTGTCAATTTCCACACTCTTACAAAACAACATGCCTCCTCTTTTACTCAGAACAATGAGTCAAGCTGACATAAATTTTACCAGCCCCCCACTTCTGTACTTCAGCATTCTAAGCTTCTAGAAATATTTAAATATCTAAAATTCCCAGGTATTTTGACTGGTATTTAGGTACAAAGATGAATACTTCTAAAGAGCTCACAGTCCACTGTGGGAAATAGATAACAAACAATTATAGAATGAGATACATGTTTATAGCAGAGAGAAGAAATACAAAAAAGAAATCTGTGGCTACATTTTTCTGGATGGTTAGGCAGATTTTCACTTGTTTGTTCTTTGATGATAATAAATTAACTATACATATATTACTTTTTTTAGACAGGTCACTGGGCATTGAGAGTGGAAGAAAAATAGTCATTCTCTCAATGAACCATCAATAGCGTCAAACAAATTCTATTTTTTTATTTCATCTTTTTAATTTTTTGGCCTGGTGCTCCCTGCCAAAGATTCCACATCTCTAAATAATCTTGTATTCCTTGTGATAAGAGCCTTTTTAACCTGGAAGGCCATAATAGCATTTACTTTTTAATCACCTATCTTTCCTATCTGTCCTTGGAATAGGGGAAATATGTGCTAGGAATCAGAGTAATCTTTACCAAAGGAACTTGTGAGAAGAAACAAGGGCATAACATTTATGAGCATATTTATCGTCTTAGCTGATACTTGAGAGTGTGTTTTTGTGTATAGACCTAAGTAGAATACAATGAAACTTGAAGCTAAAATTAGCAGAGATAATGTCAAGGAGGAAAAGACTTTTCATCTTTGATCGTTAAATGAATATGACAGATACAAAGATCAACTCAATTGCTCTTTTCAAAATTGAGATGTTGTAGCTGTGAATTCCACTTTTGAAGTAACTGTTCAGTGCTGCGATGTACATTTGGGTCAAAACAAATAATACCTCTCACCATTTTACAGTATGATATACTGGTACTATGACTGTTTTCCTCTGAGAGAATTAATGTGATTAGATTTCATAATGTTCAAAAGAATGTAGATGAAATTATTTAGATTTATTTTCAAGGAATAATTTGAATTCACTTCCCTCTTACATTTAGGTTTAAAACATTGTTTGTGGCTGGAGAACGATGCGATATAGAGACCCTGGAATGGTCCAAAAAGGTCTTCAGAGTACCCGTCCTAGACCATTGGTGGCAAACTGGTGAGCATTTTCAAAGCATTTACATAAATATTGAAAAAATGCTTAAAAATGCTGCAAGGAATGGAGGAAATTATGAACTCTCACCATCTGGCACAAACTTAGGATTCAAGTGGTCTGATTTCAGCAGAAATAGGTATTTCTTTGATTATCCTATTGTTAAACACATCTTCATAAATGACATTGATGCCACCATTCTCTTGGTCCCTAGGTATTAAGCACTGAAGACCTCTTTTGCTTTTCCTCCTCTTTGTTTCTTACATCCAGTAAGTCACTAAATCTCAGATTTTCCTTTGAAGTGTCTATTGGATTCATCCCACCTTCAGAACTCCCACTGCCTTTGAGCTGTGGCAGCCTCATTATCATCTGCCCTGATTTAAATTATCCTCATCATTCATCTCTCTTCTCTCTGTTTTTCTATACATTCTGCACACTGCTCCATGAGTAATTTTTTTTCAAGCACTGTCTCTCTCGTAGAATTTCCTGTGGTTCTCTGGCTCACTTCTCTTGTTCTATAAAATTGCATCTCTTCTGCGTAGCATTCAAAGGCAGAAAATGTATTTTTTTTTCTCCCACACACACAAACACACACACACACACACACACACACACACATACACACATATTTATTTATTTACTCATTTGGTTTATTCTCTATTTTCTTCCCACTAAGTGATCCTTGAGAAACAAATTGTCAAATTGCCATATTAAGTAGATAGAATATAAACTTTGGTACAAAAACAAAAGTTCGGCTGTTTCTTTTGAGGAGTGATTGTGTATATATGTAAAAGTATGTCGATGACCTGGAATTTGTTTTCCTCCTTACCGAGTGTAGGGATTTTTTTGGGTATCCCTCTAAACCACTGAAAGTAGCTATGAGAACCTTGCCCCTTCACATGTACATATTTCAGTTTGATTCTACTTAGAACAACAAATCAGATCAATTCTTTTATATTAGTGTTATCTGAATTTCCATCTGAGCAACTGGTGCAGAGTATCAAATTTGGATTAAAAATAAATAAAGTTTCTGTGCAAAAATTAGGTCTGATTTTTAAAAAGGATTAGAATCTAGACGATCAAGTGAGTGATGAAAAACAGAAGTTTAGTTTTGATATTTTAGAACTCTTTGATACTGATAATTTTACTTATATTATCTTCTTGGATGTTGCTCTTTGGAAAAAATGTATTTTCATTTGTAATATGAAATGGAAAATAAATGATCAGAGAAGAATATCTGTTTCTTAAATAAGATGAAAATCAGAAAGAGGTTCAATTCTCTTTAGTTTGATTTGCTAAAGGAGAAATTTCTTATCTAAGTTTAGATTTGTAACTATTTAGGAGATAATACTGAATTTGGAGAAAGAGCAATGCTGTGTAGAAATACATAAAAATAAGTAAAGAATTATTGCCTCAGCAAGGAAGAATATTTATAGAATTTATAAATTTTGTATTCACCAGGAAAATTCTAACAGTTATTTCCTGAGCACAAAGAGAAAAATATCTTCTTACCTTTGAGATGGTTTTTCTTTCCTGGTCAAATGGAAGGATTATTTCTAACACAGAAGGTACCTTACACAAATGCTTGCAAAAGACTTTTGTTTTTTTCCTTCTTAAAGTTGCATATGCTGAAGCTTGTTGAAGGAAACCAACATGTTAATAAATAAGATTATGATTCGTTTTACTTTTTATTGATATGTTCGTGCATAACAGCCTGTGCAGATGTATGTAGTTAGTGCATTCAGGCTTACAGAAAGCTCACTGAAGCCTGAGAAACAAGCATATGAGGTCTCTGGTGGGTACTGAGTTTCACTGAATCCGCATTTTTTTAAAAATATATTGTTCAGAGTGAATTAATAACCACATTATGTCAGTGTGCTGTCACTTTAATCAGATTCGAATGGCTGCTCATTGCTATGGAAAACAGAGTGGATTTCTACTAATAATGACAGATTTTTTCCATCCCCCCCATTCAGTTGTGCAGCATTTGATATTGTGTCCAATTTAAGTACACAAATGCATGCATATAGATATATAGGTAGGTAGATAGCTAGCTACCTAGGTAGTTTTATACTTTATAAAAGAAATTCATCCTAGGTAATGCAGATATCAGTTACTAACAAAGTCTAGTGAGAATCTTTATTCATTTTCATAGAAGAAATCAATTCATTATTTTCAAAGCTGTATGTTGTGGTAATTGTGAAGTGATACTGAAGTTTAACATTTGTAACCCTTCACCTTTCTTTCTTAAGGGGATATCAGAATAATTTTAAATTGCCAGGGGAAAAAAGGCAAGTACTTTGTGGGTTACTGTTAACTCTTAGAAAAAAGAAAGACAAATTTAATATTTCTAGCACATTCATGAATTTCTTAGTGTTTTACATACCAACTAGATGGTGGAACATTTCTCCGAGAAGTATGCCAATAAAAATTGTTAAGCTTTGGCCAAAGGAACACTTTTTATTTCAAATTTCAGGTTTTCTATAGTCTCTCTTTCTTGTTATTGACTTAGAAATTGATTTTTTTATACAACTGCATACCTTTATGAACCTTCCATACGATGTATAATTTATGGATCTGCTCTCTGATTACATTAATATATGTATACACGAGCTGTTTACAAACTGTGATGTATAATTGGAATTAGCAAGAAATGTGTTAAGTAACTAAATTTAAGAATAAAACTTGATTAGTTCCTGTGACTTGGGTTAAGAAGGCACACTGTAGTCAGTACATTTTATTAGCATATTGGTTTTGTTACACAGTGAAATTTCTATTAGTAACAACGGCTTTCCGTTGACTAGCATCCTCTTTTGGCCCATTAATATCAACTTTGATGTCTGAGTTGAATAATAGCTAAGATTCTAAATTGAGACCTAATCCACGGAAAATTCAAGAACAGATCGATTCCTCATAGGAGCATTTTAATAAAGAATTGTTTCTGTTCAACACCACTGAATCATTAAGCTCTGATTTTGGATTATTATAAGTGTAAACATTTTATGTGCTTATAAAGGAAACTGGTCTTGTTAAGTTTAAATAGGCAGGTTGTATCTATTTGATTCATAAATCTGAATAAAAGACAAATTGTTGTCATTTACCCAGATGTTTTATCTTCACAGTAACTTATCATAAGATGATTGAAAACATCTGGATGGTTGACCAAATTTTTAATTTTCTTTTTTGCATAGAGAAACAGAGATGCTACAATCACAATTTAAAAAGGGAAAATTAAGAGAATAGATAATGTTCCATTAAGATATGGTAATTTATATGCAAAAATACAATAGAACATCATTATCCTCAGGTGCACCATCACCAGATAAAACACTGTACTGTTATAGATCATTTTTAGTACTAAGAATAGCTTTTCTAGAAATCAGACAGGAAGCACAGTTTTAGAAAGGAAAAAGTGTCAGTTCAGTGCATAATGTTCATTGTAAGAATTTTTTGTCTTTTAGTGTAAAAGGACTATAACTGGTTGTTTTTCTTATGAGTGAATGACCAAGTAAAAAAAAATTCCATTCTTTAAATTTCAGAGACTAACTACTAAAACCTAAACACAGTAGAACTCACTCCTTTTTTGATGTTTCTTTCTTTTCTTCCTGAATTCTCTTTTCTCTCTCTTTTGTCCCTCCCTCTTTTCCTCTCTCCTTTTCTTCCTTTCCTCCTTATTTACTATATGATATGGTACTGGTTTAGAAACAATTGCTACAAAACAGCTTAAGGTCACATTTATTAATGTTATTTAATACTGAGTAAAAATACTTTATTCTTTCACTTATTATTAGTTAAATTAAATACAACAGGCTACAAAGTTAGAATATTCAAGTTCCACAATGGCTTTTATAAGGGACAACTTGGTAAAGGGTTTAGATCGAAAGAATTCATGATTCTTTCTACTTGCTGGCAGTACGTATCTGCGTGGTTCCCATCAGATGATATGGAGCTTACATTGAAAGTGTTTCAAGTACTTGCTGGCAGTACGTATCTTCGTGGTTCCCATCAGATGATATGGAGCTTACATTGAAAGTGTTTCAAGTATCTTTATGCCCAGTAGTGATGAAGTGATTGGAAAGACTTAATGACCTTAATGACCTTGAAGACTTAATGACTTAATCAACTTGAGCAGCTCAGGGTGATTCTGTTATTGGTTTATTTGTTTTGTTTCCATCACTTCAATAGAGGACCAAAATTCTTCACAGAATTTTTAAAAGTCTAAGGAGGGATTTCACTGAGAAAACTTAGTCACCTAAGGGATTGAGACATTGGTGACAATTGAAGTTACTGATCTTACTTTATCTGCCTCCAGTCATCTTTGTTGAGTTCTTATATCTTGGAGTAACCACAGTATTTCTCCCCCTGTTTGATTGAACTACAGCAGTTTTAATTGCAATTGCCAGTTCTGAAGCAACTATATTCTATATATAGCCTAAATCCTCCTCCTTTGAGGAGGAATCTGATAATTCTGGATTTTATTAAAGTGGACCTGAAGGCCCCAGCAGATTCAATCACGCCAGTTTTTAAATCAAAATCATTGATCCTAAAGCGCACACGTCTTAATACCATATTATTAAAATGTGTCAAGGCTCCTTGATGTGATAATCCTTATTTTCGCAGTTTGGTAGGCTATACTTCCTAAGAAAGGACAACTGGGACAGTAGTGTTAACTTTAAAAATCGGTGAGGCTGACCCAATTCAGTCTTTATCCTTAAGTCTATCTGGAAAAGATTCATTAGCCCAGGATTTTTAAAAGTTATCAATACATTATATTTACAAGAAGCAAAACTACAAAGTAGAATAATTAATTATAGTTTAATAACAGTTATCCTAAGCAGAGATCTCTATGGGAAATGATATGGTCTCAAATATAGTACTATTAGTCCTTCTAAGGAAACTAATTGTGAACATTTAGTCAAGATTTGAGGATTCTGTTACCCTTGCATTCTCTGACATTCCATATTCATGCATCTGAGTTGATATAATTACTGTAGAAAGGTTTCAAT